CCCCCACCCCCATCCCCCCACCTGCTCTCCCTCTCCTGTGGGCCCAGGCCCTCCCCCACAGTGTGGCAGGAGAAGAGGCAGCCACCAGGGTCTGCAGGACACAAGCATTCATGGTCCACACACAACTTGCAGACCACCAGTCAAACAGTGCTGTCATAGGTCATTCTTGATAGCTCCTGAACGCTTATGAACCATCTCCCTTTCTGAGCTGCAGTATTTTTATCCACCCAGTTGCTTCAGGGCCTACAATTAGGCCCAGCTGAGGGGGTTGTTAATCTCCCCTCTTAAACTCTTGAGTGGCTGGAGTAACATGGAATGCAAGAATGACATGGCACTTTCTCTTTGATAAGCAGAATGGATTGTGCTCTTGGAGTCTACTGTTATACAGTATGCTTTTCAGCCTCTTAATCATTCTTGTGGCTTCGCCATGAACCCTCTTCAGTTTATCAACGTCCTTGAATTGCGGATGCAATATTTCAGTGATAGTTGTACAAGTGTCAAATAGGAAAGTACAGCAATATAATCTCCCTACTGCTCCTTCTCTAGACTCCCTATTTATATACCAATGGATCACATTAAACCTTTGGTCTATTGAGTCACACTGGGGGCCCATTTTCAGCTGTTACCCACCCTGACTCACATTAGGAAAGGCAGCCAGATGTGCCCTGCTACAGTCAGCATCACTAAGATGTTCCTGCTCCTTTAAGGGCAGAAGCTGCCTGGCCGGGAAGCCTGAGCAACAGCCTAAGGGGGTAATTGGCCAGTACCTGCAGGCGGTCAAATGACCAGAAGGAGGCAGGGCCCTGGGGACATATAAGCTCAGGGTTGGACCTAGCATGGTTACTCTGTCTCTGGCAATTGCCAGGGGAAGAAGCATGAGACCTGTTTCTGCCTGCTGTGCTACACAAGTACAGTGAGACTCCAGGAGCTCCCCATGTCCCCAGGGCTAGAGGACATGCTATCCTAAGGTTGGAAGTTTGCCTTCTTAAAGGGGTGGAGTGCTGCCATTATTGTTAGTGTTATGTTATAGCCCAGGGGCTTATGTTTCTGTTGTTATTTGCACTGGTGGTTTTTGGATGAGTCTATAAAGGGAGGAGGAAGCCTCATTAGTGCCTAGTGGGCAAAGCACCCTATTGTATAGAGCCCAGCACCAGAAGAGCACAACTACAAAAGCCAGAGGGCCTGGCACCAGAAGGGCATAGTAAATACAGGGGTTGGAGGGTGCCAGAGGGACATGATAAACAGGGACATTAAAGAGGATCAGCATCAGGGCAGAGGTGGGTCCTGGGAAAAGGCTAAGTAAGTCAACTGTTCGCATTACATCTGCAAGGCATGGGGTGTGGTAAAGGGGAGGATCTGGAGACATCTCGAGCCTTATGGGCTAATTACGTATCCCGCGAGACACCGTCTGGGAGAGGGGCCCAGTGAGGGGTCCAAAGACCAGTAGGGTCTAGCAGGGTTTAGTGGGACTGGAAGCCATGAAAAGGCTTGTGTGTAGCCTCCCTATCTATCATTTTACCAACAAGGC